GCCAAACTGTAGTTCAAGATTTTATCAAGTTTAACTTTCCTCAACAATGTTGCTTTTAGAGATTTTAGTTTACCTTTTATGTTTTTATTTCTAATGTTTTGTTGGTAATATGATTGGTAAAAGTAATGTGTTTGTAATACTACTTTTTTGATTTTTTTTTTGTTTATGGATATTGATATGTTTCTTAATAAAATTTGAGTTTTTTGTTGACGTTCCTAGTTTCCAGATTTTTAATTATTTTCCAGATTTCCTATTTGGTTGTATTTAGTCACTGTGTTTTGTACAAGCCTCACTAAACACATTTGTCTATGCAATATGTATCATTCGTTGGTGTGCACAAATAATAGTTCGCTTGTTTAGGCGTAATAGGTACAAAATTGACTTTCTTTATTTTTTTAATTTTTTGTTCATGGATACAATTTTATAAAATTGACTTTCCCTATATATATATATATATATATATATATATATATATATATATATATATATATATATATATATATATATATATATATATATATATATATATATATATATATATATATATATATATATATATATATTGGTCGATGTATGCTTAGCCTAAATAAACTTTTTTTTTTATCTAATATACTTGGTTGTGTTTTTATAATGGCTGTCATCACGTAGGGAGCCAACCTCAATTTCTTTTTTCGGTTTGATTTGAAGGCAGTTCATGGAGTTTGATGAATAAATTGATAACAAAATTGTTCCTATGATAATTGTTGGTCGACAATGTAAGCAAAAAGACCAGGTAAATTATATCACGAGAATAGATTGGTAGAAATTTAAAATAATAAAAAAATGTATATTTAATATTCAATAAGAGATATAATAGTCAACTAATAAAAATAAAGATTTCAAAAAATTATAAATCAAAATGTTTAAAAATATTTAGAATAAAGATCTCGATAATTTTGATATTTTAAATGTTTATAAAATAAAAATATGATATTTAAAAATTAAATTCTCTAAATGATATATATATATATATATATATATATATATATATATATATATATATATATATATATATATATATATATATATATATATATATATATATATATATATATATATATATATATAGCGAGGTAGAATAGAAAACCATAATTAACCAAGAAATCAATATTTTTTTATAATTTTTAGAACTTATTTTTTTAATTAAAAATACAAAAATTCATAACTTTTTATCATTTTTCTAATAATATCAAATTCGATAATTTTTTTTTTCCGTCAAATTCCCAATGTGAATCTTTGAAAATTTCCAATATGAATCTAACTTCACACAGTGAATCCGAAAAATATATTTAACATTAACAATGTTAAGTTATTAATTTAAATATTTTTAGTTATTTTTTCGATAAAGAATAAATTTTAAATTTTAAAAAAAAATATTTTGTTACTTGGAGAACAATAATTATGGTTTTCTCTCTCTCTCTCTCTCTCTATATATATATATATATATATATATATATATATATATATATATATATAATTTTTAATTATTATTATTATTATTATTATTATTATTAAACTTCAAACAAGTCAACAACGACACTAGACTTACACACCTAACACCTAACCTAACCCATTAATCAATTTTTAATCTGCAAATGCAAACAATAAGTCAAACCTTTAGTTTTTTCTTTCAATAACAATAATATGTACAAATATATTTGAAAGGTCGACAATTTGACAAATTCAAACATATGCTATCTAAGCACCTAAGACATTCAAAATAAATTAAATTTATTACCATTTGATTAATTCTACTAAAAAGTTGTTATAAAGTATTAAAGTCTATAAAATTTAATAAAACATATTCATAATATCTAACTTATATTATAGTTAATAATTAAAATGTTTTCCCCCCATTAATTTTCATATCCATTAAATTTTAATATTGCATCTCATAATAATATAGTTGATCAATTATTGTTCCCTTGATAGTTTCTTGCCAGTCGTTGGTTCTTTTTTATAAAATTTATCCTTTCCAAAAATAGTTTAATCCATTAGACCACTTGATATAGTTTAATCCATTATGACATTTGTTACCATTCCATATTTACTTAGTTATCTCATTAAGAGTATATTAGAGCATCTCTAATGCAAGTTTATTTATAGCTTTTTATTATTTGCTTGAATACTTAATATTATTAAGCACCATTGAAGAGGATAATTTTTTTGCTTTTTTATTGACCACTCAATATATATTAAGTGGTCAATATAATATAAATTTTTATCCAATCTAACCCTTTATCTTTAAGAATATTATATTTTAACCACATAATTTTATTTTAGTTGAAATAATATTTATTTCTTTAATATATAATTATTTATATTAGATGTTACAAATGTTTATATATTATAACTATAGTAAAGATTAATATAACTATATTTTAATAAAAATATGTTCTATTTAAAAACAACTAGTTAAATGAAGGGGTTATAAGAAACAATTTATATACATATGGATCAACTAGTGGAACTTTTAAAAAAAAAATGCTATGTTGAGGTTAACCATTGCACATGTAACATAATTAGAGCTTAAAACTAATAGAATGGTGATTTAACAATAACTTTAGATTATAAGACAACTCAATCATTGGAGATGCTCTTAAGAATATATCGTATAAAATTAAATTGAATGGTGTAATGATGATATGTATCATAATATTAATAGGTAGAAATATTTATAGACATAATAAGTAGGGACCAATTTAATTTCACTTTTTTGTCAATTTCAGCACCATCTCATTTTTATATCACTCTCTTACTTTTAAAAACTCATGAAACGATCACACTTTCTTTCTTATTTCTTATTTATATTTGTAAATATATTTTATAAAAATATTATATTTATTTTTTAGAGAATTAAAAACCTTAAATTATAGTACTTTTTATTTTGGTATATATATAATTTGATCATAAATTATATAAACTAAAAAAATGAAGAAAAACATTTTCTAGCCGTTAGCCAATCAAAGAAGGGAAGAGTGTGGGGACACTTACCTACGCCAAAAAATCATTACCTTAACTGCACACATGATGTGGTGTTTCCTGGTGCGATGAAACTCCAACTCAACAAACCGTATTGTATGGTTAGACCATACTGTCCGACCTTAAGGCTAAGGGATGTGGGATATCACTTACACTTACTTTTTCTATGTCAATTCATTGATACATCATCTTCCCATCACTGATAAAAAAGTTGTCATAACTTACTCTCCTTGCTCTTTTTAATATTCAAATATATATAAATAATATATTAATATTATATTCTATTTATATGGAATTTAAAGCTATGAATTTAATATCTTTTATTATATATATATATATATATATATATATATATATATATATAATTAAAAAAATAGGAGAAACAACATTGGTGAAAAGGAATCGGACGTGGGTTTTCACCGCACTTCGCACACCACACGACTCGTGGTCTAAATGCCAATTAGGCATATCATATCATTAAGCTCTCATTGAACTATACAACATAGATGTTCTAAATATTACTCATAAATATCCCAATCATTGTGGATGTTAAAAAAGATATGAGTAAATGACAACTACCCTAAATCCCAAAAATTTCCACAATAAAAGCAAAAGTTATGTTTAAAGAATTTGTTCTCCTTCCAGAGCTCTAAAGTTTAATTCTTCAATATTGGCAAGATTCAACACTTGAATTTCCAAGTACAAAATTTATTTTCTTAACATGGATACTTGTTACATTTTCAGATTTCCGGGGTCACACAAGCCACAAAACTTTCCTTCATCCATAACCTACATCTTAATTTGCTATATATGTTGATACATGGATTATAGATCAACATGAACTTGTTACATGTCAAAGACAAAGGAAAGCTACCTAACTTCAACATGCATATGCATTTGCTATCTTAAAGGAGAGTTACATAAAAGTCATGATGGGCTAAAAGCGCTCATAAACCACCAATGCCCAACCATTTGATCCAATTTCCTTTATTATTTGCGGTTCTGATTTTAACATGTTGGGGTTTTTCTAGAATATTTCGTTTCCATCTATTTTCGTGTGTAGGTAAATTACAAACTTATCATTAATATTTATCAGTCACATAATTTTTAGATATTTGTTGGAATCACCTTTATAAGGGTGGGCCTTTTATTGAAAATCCAAAGAATATTGGAACATATATATATCGAGTTTTCTGTTGAAGCATGTGCTTATATAAACACGGTTTTTACTTTTTACTTCCATTAATACATCTTTTTATTCAAAAAAAAAAGTTTTATCATTTTCCTCATCTTGAAAACGACTTTAATTTGAACGATTAGATGATCTCTTTGATTTGAATAGGGTTCGCGTCCAAACCGTGTTACAGTCATTAAAAAGGACCCCGACATCAAAGTAATCTCCATTCTTCAAGTAAAGTTGTAATTAGTAATTTATTAACAGTATAAATAAATAAATAAATATATAATATCCACATGGGAAAGACATAATGCCTATGATTACTTTATGTACGTATTTTATATACTATATAGCATGTGATTGCGCGTTGGTCCACACGGTTAGGAGCCACGCGTCGAGCTTTGGTGGCTATTTCATTTGTGTTTATTATTTATTATTATTATTATTATATATTATATTATATTATATTATTATTATTTAATAGTATTTGTATTTGTAATTAGCAACGTGTTTTGGCGTTGCTACCCATGTGCATGTGGGTGGTGGACGGCGACTTCCACTCTTTCCAAACCATATTTTTATAATCCATTTTTATGCATGTGTTGTATCTATTTTATATCAATTAAAGCTACCCAATTATGACCCTTGATATGATGCCATAAACAAATATTCTAGAAATCAATGGTGAGATTGGAGCAAGGGTATAATGGGAACAGAAAAAAAAGGTCTGCCGTTGTAGCACGAGGTAAACAATATCGGAATAAAAAGATTAATAAATATAAGGGGGACAAGGTGGGTCCGTGGAAGTTGCCAAGAACACGACTCCATTGCAATGCTTTTCAAGATTCATCACCCACTATATATGTCACAAGCCAATTAATCACCTTTCCTCAACTTAAACACCTTAAGTTTTCAGATTCATAGCAGGGTTTCCTTTTCCTTTTCCTTTTTCTTGTTCTTGATATTATGTCTACTTCATCGGAAATTGTGGATTCCGGTAGATTTTCCGGCCAGAATATGCCGTCCAGAGCTCCGGAGAAGTCCAGCTTCTCCCAGACTTGTAATCTGTTCTCTCAGTACTTGAAGGAAAACGCCACTTTCCCAGATCTGACTCTTGGTAAGTTTTTTATTTTCTTGATTATTCCAACAATCAGAAGCTTTTAATTAGTTCTTGGATTATTTAACTTAAACATGGTTTCTTGAAGGTAAAGATTAATTTTTTATGGTTTATAAATTTGTTCAGGTAGGAGGACAGCACCATCAACTGCCACAATGAATCTTTTCCCGATGGCTGAAACCACACCGACGCCTGTCCAGCCGCAAACCACCGCCGGACAGAATCAATCAAGACCGATGACCATCTTCTACAACGGTCAGGTCATCGTGTTCAATGATTTAGCTCCAGAGAAGGTTAAAGAAATCTTGATGTTAGCGGGGAAAGGGGTTCCCCAGAAGCCCACAAAACCTGAAGAACTTTCGAATAATATGGTGCATGATAGTATCAAGATTCAACGTCCTCAGCCTGTTGTTGCAGATCTTCCGATAGCAAGAAAAGCTTCCCTCGCTAGATTCTTGGAGAAGAGGAAAGACAGGTAATTAATGAACAAACAAATCAAGACCTAATAATTATTCGATCATACAATTAATTTCTTACATGTTTAATTGGATTCTGATAAACAAAAGTTTGTTTTGCGAATTTATTACAGAATTACGGCTCGATCGCCATACCAAACGCAAGGCGATTCAAAGCAAGAAGATAGCAAGACGTGGCTGGGACTCGGTGCACAATCACATATCCAATTTCAGCTGCAACGGTGATAATAACGTACGAGTGTTATCATATTTAAAGATGGTTCAACGAATCGCTCAAGCATGTTAATTACGTTTAGGATCGATGATGTTTTTTTAATCATGTTCTTTTTTACGGATGTCCGGATTAACTACAGAAATTTCTAACCTGTTTTTGCGCCTTTCTTGCCATGAGAGACGTATTGTAATAGTAGTAGTTTTACATGTGATATGGGGTTAATGGAGGTATACTATTATTCTTTAAAAGTGTCGATTGTTTGGTGTGTTATTTTTGCACGACTCTTGAATCAAAACATATGTGCAAACATGTAACATGTGGGTGGGAAGTGGGAAGTGGGAAGTGGGAACCTAATTCGATGATATGTTAAATTAACTTTCTGGTGTTCGGCCAGATTTGACTCCATTAGTAGTATACCAAAAGCGACCCAAACAATATACAAATTAATTAAAGAAATAAAAAAAGAATATGTCTTACTCTTACTGTCTTGCATTCTTTGCTAATTTTTAATGTTCTTAATTTCTCCAATTTGTATAATCAAGCCTTCGGGTGGTTAATAAGAAAACAAGATCAAAAAAGTATGTTAGCTATGGTTGACAAAACAATATATTATTCAATATATAGAAATCAACTTTGAACAAACATTGTATTTGGAGTCGTTAAGATTTATGATTATTGTATATGTTTTTATCTTTAAAAGAAAATCAATGTTTTTCGTTTGGTAAGGATTAAATAATTGTAAAAAGTATTAGCTAATTATATATAACAAGGTTCTAAAAAGTTTGTTATTTCACCTCAAAGTTTGTATTTGACGTCACGCTTTAAGAAAAAATCGTTTTAACTCATGCATATATAAAAATGAATTGTAATAAAAAAATATATAGAATTATTAAGGATAAATATCGTATTAGCCTAATGAATTTGTCGCGATTAATTTAAAATATCATTTTTTTTATTAAAAAAAACTTTAAAGGTATGAAGTCAATGTTTACCTGGTAAATAATCCTTTTATCTTTTATAATAGGTTACACCACCAACGTCTCCTTCTCATTCTTTCTAGCAACACACTCTCTATCTTGAACCACAGCATTTTTCCCAATTAACATGCAAATTACCAATTAAATAACCATAATATAGGCAGAAAAAAAAAATCAAGATCTTCATTACCTTTCACCAAACAACTCCCTTTACGCACCCATTTTATAAAAACACAACAAAACTCTTGTTCTTGAATCTCAAGAACAATGAAAGGTCATTTAGAATTTTTATCAAATATCTTATGTGCAGTCTTTTAAGCTCCACCTCAACATACGATTTTTAGTGGAGGAACCCTATTTTCAATTCAAATCACCAAAATAAATGTAATTTAACAAAACAAAACAGATTTAGATTCGAAAATGAGAAAACTCCACCCCTTTGTTGTGAAATCGAATAACTGTTATGGCTTTGTTCTTACCTAGATTCGTGAGTTTAATTGTGTCTGTGAAGTAATGATTGGAAAAGAAACAGTAACGAATTAAGAAATTTGCTCTTGCTTTATTCTTCTTCATTCGTACAGTACAAACATAATGAAGGAGATTAAGGAATATAATCCAGGTGTTCCAGAATTTCATTAAGGAATCGCCTCTACGAGGGGATTTTTTCTTGAGACATGGTCCAAAAGCTGCAAACCCATTTCAGTTTAAGATTTCACTGGTCGGCTATTAGCATGATGTTCTAGCGAGATCTTCCTACTTCTTTTGCGAGAGAACATACCAAACATTACCTCCATACATGTTCTCAACCTCGATTCTGGTGGCTCCACTATCGCATGTGCAGATGGTGGAGATGAAGAAGAAGTAGAAGCAGATGCCTAAAATGTCTTCAACAATGAAAGAAATGGAGACGAAGAAGATGTTGAATAATGGTGCTCAAAACTTCCAGTAGTTTCTGTCCCACTACTTAGTATTTAAGATTTCAGTTTTTGTTTTGGTAGCTGTTACTTTATTTCAAATAAGTGGTCTATGATTACCCATAAATTAGTATTAGCAGTTGCTTATTTCTAGCTTTGTCAGTTTCTTTTTTTTCTGATATTTATATGGCTGTGTACTCAATCAAATGTGGGCAGAATATTAAATAAGAGATCTTTTCACAGCAAATTGTTCTTAAGTTTTTTCCTGTTCTTCCTGTTTTGTACCAGAATTTCTTGTTTAAGTCTTTCTTTCTTCCAACAAAATTGGTATCAGAGCCGGTACAATGACAAGCAATGGTACAAGTTCTACAGCACAGCCATTGATTCCAGTTTTCAAAGGGGAGAAGTACCACCTTTGGAGTCTCAAAATGAAGACAATGTTGAAGTCCCAAGAGCTATGGGATTTGGTGGATAATGGGTATGCAGAACCAAACCCGGCACCAGCAGAACTAGATCAGCAATTACGAGAAACTCGAAAGAAGGATGCAAAGGCTTTATTCTTCATCCAATCAGCATTGGATGATGCGTTTTTTCCACGTATTGCAGAAGCAACAACATCGAACCAGGCATGGGCAATTCTGAAACAAGAATTTCTTGGTGATCGAAAAGTCATCAATGTCAAACTACAATATCTTCGTCGTGAATTCGAGACCTTGGGCATGAAAGAGAAGGAAAAGGTGCAAGCTTTCCTTTCGAGAGTCTCTGAAATTGTCAGCCACATGAGGTCATATGGTGAAAACGTTAGCAATGAAACCATAGTCAGTAAAGTTTTAAGGAGTTTGACCAAGGATTTCAATCATGTCGTGGCTGCAATCGAGGAAACAAAGGACCTGTCCACTTATACTTTTGATGAACTAATGAGTTCTTTGATAGCTCATGAAGATAGGATGAACAGGTGTTGTGAGAAAGTTGATGAGAAGGCGTTTCAAGCAATTGGGGATCAAAATAAACGAAGTGCAGAAAGTTCACGTGGACGGGGAAGAGGTGGATTTCGTGGTCGTGGCAGAGGAAGAGTTCAGTTTGGTGATCAACGCCAACAAAAAAAATCCCTCGATGTCAACATTGCAACAAACTTGGCCATAGAGAAGCTGATTGTTAGAACAAGCAGAGAGAACAGAACCCTCAATGTCGATATTGCAACAAACTTGGCCACAAAGAAGTTGATTGCTGGACCAAGAAACGAGAAGAACAAAATCATGCAAACTTTTCAGAAAAAATTGAAGAGGAAAGCAAGCTATTCATGGCACATTCTTCCACAGTTGATACATCTAATGGCGTGTGGTTTGTGGACAGCGGATGTTCAAATCACATGACAGGGGCAAAGTCTTTGTTTAAAGAGCTTGATGAGACTCAAAAGGGTGTAGTTTATTTTGGAGATGACAATGCATTACAAATTGAAGGACAAGGTACAGTTTCCATCAAAACCACTCAAGGTAATGCAAAACTTATTCATGATGTGCAGTATGTTCCTAAATTGGCCCATAATTTGCTAAGTGTTGGGCAATTAATGTGTTCTGGATTTTCAGTTACTTTTGATGATGGGTATTGTTTAATTAGAGAAAAAAAATCTGGCCAGCCCATTGCTAACATTCTAGTGACACAAAATAGAATGTTTCCACTTAAAATTTCAACCATGGAGAAGTGTGCTTTAGTTGCTACTAGTGAGTCAAGCATTTGGCATTTACGTTATGGTCACTTAAATATAAACGGGTTGAAATTGTTACATCAGAAAAATATGGTTTTAGGGCTGCCAAAAATAGATACAGTGGATTTTTGTGAAGGTTGTGTATATGGGAAACAGACTCGAAAATCGTTCCCTGTAGGTAAGTCTTGGAGAGCTTCTTCTTGTCTTGAATTAGTGCATACCGATGTTTGTGGTCCAATGACTGTTGATTCATTGGGTGGAAGTCGATATTTCCTATTGTTTATAGATGATTTCAGTCGCATGAGTTGGGTATACTTCATAAAAAATAAGTCAAAGACCTTTGATTGCTTTAAAAAATTTAAGGCTTTGGTAGAGAAAGAGAATGGGAATAACATAAAAGTTCTTTGTTCCGATAATGGTGGTGAATTTACCTCACGAAAATTTAATGAATTTTGTGAGTTTAATGGTATTCGTAGGGAATTTACAGCACCGCACACTCCAGAACAGAATGGAGTAGCAGAACGGAAAAACCGAACCATTGGTGACATGGCAAGAAGCATGATGGAGGCAAGAAATCTTCCAAATTTTTTTTGGGCTGAAGGTGTTGCAGCTGCTGTATACATTTTGAACATCTCACCTACGAAGGCTGTTCTAAATCGAACTCCCTATGAAGCATGGAAAGGTAAAAAACCGCAAGTAAGTCACTTAAAAATATTTGGGTGCATTGGTTATGCATTAGTCACATCATCTCGCACCAAGCTTGATCAAAAGTTAGAAAAATGCATTTTCATTGGCTATTCTACTTCCTCAAAAGCATACAGGTTATTTAACCCGATTAGTGGAAAAATTATTATAAGCAGGAATGTTGAATTTAATGAAGCAGAACAATGGAGTTGGAAGAATACAGAAACATCAGCCTCACCGGAATCTGTTCCTGTTACATTTGAGGTCAATAACTTCACAGATCCAGAAACAAGCAATTCTCAAAATGGAGATAATGTTGCACCACCTTCAACTCCACCTTCTTCACCATCAGGATCTTCTTCACCTCCAAGCTCTTCATCTGAAAGTCCTCCAAAAAAGTTTCGATCACTGGAGGATATCTATTCCTCATGTAGTTTTGCATTATATGCATCTGATCCTGATCCTATCTTTTATGATGATGCAGCACAGAAACAGGTGTGGCAAGATGCAATGGAAGATGAGATTGCAGCTATTCGAAAGAATGAGACTTGGGACTTGGTTGATTTGCCCAAAGAAAAAAATGTCATAGGCCTCAAATGGGTGTACCGTACAAAATACAATGCTGATGGTACAATCCAGAAGCATAAAGCTCGTTTGGTTGTGAAAGGGTATGCTCAGCAACACGGAGTCGATTACGGAGAAACCTTTTCTCTGGTTGCTCGTTTTGAAACGGTTAGAATTTTTCTTGCCTTAGCCGCACAATTAAAATGGAAAGTGTACCAATTTGATGTTAAATCAGCGTTTCTAAATGGAGAGCTAGAAGAAGAAGTGTATGTCTCGCAACCGGAAGGATTTTCATGTGGCGATGATAGCAAAGTGTACAGGTTGAAAAAAAGCCTTATACGGGCTTAAGCAAGCCCCCCGAGCGTGGTACAGCAAGATAGATTCATACTTTCAAGAAAACGGATTTGATAGAAGTAAAAGTGAGCCTACTCTGTATGTGAAAAAGCAAGGTAAAGCTAATTTTCTGGTTGTCTGCATCTATGTAGATGACATTATTTATATGGGGTCGTGTGAATCTATTGTTGCTGAGTTCAAATCTTCGATGATTAAAAAATTTGAGATGTCAGATATGGGCTTGTTACGTTACTTTCTTGGCCTGGAGGTAAATCA